AAAAATTTGTTACGTTATACTGAAATTAAAGTATAATCATAAGAATACAAAAAGTATTTTAAAATATGAAATGTGAATGCATACAATTTTTAAATAACATAAAAGTCAGTGTTGGAGTAATCATTTTAGCGTATAAATGGAGGCTTCTAAACTCTTCAAAGTATCTCAGCCAAGTATCCAGATCACAAAATATACCACTTCTCATGTATTTTTATTTATTTTATTAAACATGAACACTTCTTTGTTCATAGCACCTTGTTTACCAATCCTTTTATTTCAGTTCTTCGATCTCTATAAGCATTAAGAATAATTCAACATAGGCATAAAATGAAAGGATACTTGAAAAAATTTGAAAAATAAAAAAAGTGGTGACACATTTTTAAAGGGAATTTAAAGGTTTTCACCCAATTAATTTTTTCTTTGTCAATATTTCTTTTTTGTTAAACATCAGCAACTTATCTATAGAAGTAAATAAAATGAGAAAAGGAACCCAGAGAACCGTGTTTTTCACATGGCTTTTCCTAACTTAAGGGGCCTTGTTAAGTGACAAAAGAACATTCACCTTTGTTAACTTTTATATTGAATTGATATATCACCTGAGATTACTTTGAGAATACATAAATGCTTAGAAAGTACACTGAGATCCATTTTATTATGTCATTTTAAGAAACATTGGAGGATTATAATTTTAATCTGATAATCATTATGGAACTACTGAGACCAATGCTTTTGATGTGCATTTGCACAACTTTTCTTTAAAGAAATACGTCAAAGAATGACGATTATCTTATATCCAAGGTCTAGAATGAATTAAGACAAGGATAAACAAATATGTTCAGAAATAAAAAGTAATCTTGTTACTGCTAAGGAAAACCAAGGGTATTATGAACCAAGTGTATCTACAGAAAGCATACTTCCGTGGAGACTAAGCAATATGCACTTCATGAAATAGAATCTCAAATCGCACATGAAATTTAAATATATCTCCTTAAAATGATACCTACAATTTGGCTAAAATCAGAATGAATACACAATTTTAATTCCTCAGTGTTCTTTCAACTCAACCACTAATCAAAAAATGTACTGGCTCCATGGAACAACAACCTCTGGATAAAGTTCTAAATAACTCAAATGACCTGCAAACAACAGCCCCATCTGTGAAAAATAAATGACAAATTTAAATCTTTACTTTCAGGGGCCAGAGAGCCGTACAGGGATTAAGTCACATGCTGTGCACCAGGATGACCCCAGTTCAATCCTTGACACCATATATGTATGTACCCAAAGCACCACCGAGTGATCCCTGGATACAGAGTCAGGACTGAACCCTGAGCATTGCTGAGTGTGGCCTCAACACCGAAATTAGTTAATAAATAAAGCTATACTTTCGGGGCTGGAGAGATAGTTCAGAGGGTAGAGCATTTGCCTTGAACATGGCGGACCTGAGTTTGATTCGTGGCATCACATATGGTCCCCCGAGCATCAGCAGGGGTACCCGTGCACCGCCAGGAGTAACTCCTGAGTGCAGAGCCAGGAGTAACCCCTGAGTATCACCAGATGTGACCCAAAAAGGAAAAAAAAATAAAGCAAGACATTAAATATTTGAGGTCTTGTGTGCTGTACTCTGTCATCACTAGAACAAGAAAACAGAAAATATTGACTAAAAAATATAATCTGATACTGAGTTGGCAAACACTGTCACTGCCACTGTCCTCCTGTTGTTCATCAATTTGCTCAAGTGGGCCCAGTAACATTGTGAGACTTGTCACTGTATTTGGCATTATCGAATAAGTACGGGTAGCTTGCCAGGCTTTGCCATGTGGGCGAGATACTTTCGGTAGTTTGCCAGGCTCTCCAAGAGGGGTGGAGGAATCGGGTTGGCAAACAGTTTTCTTAATTTAATATAATGTTCTGGCGAGAAGCAAATATTACTGCTCTCACCCCACTAGCTGAAAATGAGAGAGGGGAAAGGGAGGGAGGGAGGGAGGGAGGGAAGGAGCGAGGAGGAGAGAGGGGGGAAGGGGGAGGAGGGAGAGAGGGAGACAGAGAGAGAGAGAGAGAGAGAGAGAGAGTGAGAGAGAGAGAGAGAGAGAGTGAGAGTGAGAGAGAGAGAGAGAGAGAGAGAGAGTCAGGGCTTACTCCTGGATCAGGGCTCTGCACTCAGGAATTACTCCTGGCTGTGCTGGGGGACCATATGGGATGCTGGGAATCAAACCTGGGTCGGCCACGTGCAAGACAAACGTCGTACCCACTGTGCTATCACTCCAGCCCCTTTTACACATTCTCTTGATGTGTAAAGATCATATCTATAGAACAGACAGTCAGGATTTGAGTTATATTTGATAGTTTTATATGCTGTGTGACAACCAGTTAAATTTTTATGAAATTATTAGCAGTAAATAATTCCTAAAATTAATGTGCTCAAAATCTTTACTATATTATAAAAGTTTTTTTCTCCTACAGATTAAATAAATGTCAAATTTCCTATATTAGTTTTCAAGGTCTAAGTAGACACAAAGTTGTTAGGGTGAAGCAGAGAAAAAATATGTGTATCAAGTCATTTAGTAACAAAAAGTATGGTTTAGAGGCCTCATTTTCTAATACAAACTCAATGTCCCTTTTTATTATGTAAGGAAACTTCACATACAAGAAGAAGAATACAGGGCATCTATCTGTACAATTTTTTTTACTCACACCCTATCTGTACAATTTAATATTCTCAATGAGTAAAAAATCACATTATGATAAGAAAGGTTCTAAACACATCAGCTTTCATTTATAATTCATAGTAAATGAAACTCTAATTAGCACAATCAACTGAAAAAGAAACAGTAAAATGATTCTGTAATCTATCATGGAAGGCAGTTTGCTATGATATGGCAAAAAATTATTTGAAAAGTTAAAACACAAACTACTGCTAATACTTGAGCTAAATATCCAGTATACTAATCCAGTAGAAAAGTGACCAAAACATTCAATCACATTTTTACCACTGGATGCTGAGGCCAAGCAATTCTTGGTTGGCCAAGAATTACGGGGAGTGGCCATTGGGCCCCATGAGTACTGCTTGGAAAGCGTCTCCTTCCAAATAAGACTGAAGTATTTTGTAACAGTAAATCAGAAAATTACTATACATACATATGCAACATATATTATTCAAAAATTACCCACGTTAATATCTTAGCAAAGTTCTTTTTTTAAATTACATCACCCACAATCATGCTCAGGGCTTACTCCTGGCTCAGTGATCCTTCCTTGTTGTGTTTGGGGGTCCTGTGTGGGATGTTGGGGACCGAACCTGGGTCAGCTGCGTGCAAGGCAAGCGCCCTACCCACTGCACTCTCTCTCCAGCTCCCATGCTCTGTCTTTTTCATTTACACAGTCGCTTTACAGACTTTCCAAATTCACTTTGCAAACAACACTAAACATTTAGGTGACTGTTTTTTCTCATTACAATAAAATTTATGACAAGACCATTTATAGCCAAGGGTATACCAGTTTATCTCCTACTTTGAATTCTTCATCCCTGACTGTTTTCAAGCAGACTGTTTTGCTTTCTTCATCCTACATCCTATGCAGTGGGGTACTGTAACACCAACGTGCCTAAAACATCCAGCATAATACCTAACATATCAGAATGAATAGATCATACTCATTACAAAAATCTTGCACATTTCAAATTATTTCCCTTGATTACTAAACTGAAATGATACAGCTTTCACAGAAGGCTCCACGGGATAATTTCTATAAAGTAGTTGCTGGCTTGGGCTGGAGCGATAGCACAGCAGGTAGGGCGTTTGCCTCGCACACAGCCGACCTGGCCAACCCGTGTTCGATTCCTCTGCCCCTCTCGGCGAGTCCGGAAAGCTACCGAGAGTACCTTGCCTGCATGGCAGAGCCTGGCAAGCCATCCGTGACATATTCGATATGCCAAACACAGTAACAACAAGTCTCACAATGGAGACGTTACTGGGCCTGCTTGAGTAAATCGATGAACAATGGGAGGAGAGTGCTACAGTACTCCCTTGATTGACAAAAATAAAGTTATTCAATTAAAAGATAGACTATTCTTGATTTTTGTCTGTTTTTTGTTGGCATGGGTGTTGGATGTCCAAAGCAGTGCTCTGGGACCAGTACCTCCCCCAAGATTCTTGTCTAATTGGGCCAGCAATTCACAATGAGGGACTGAGGAGCAGTACTGTTTGGGTTCTGCAATGACAGACATGACCCAGGGCGCCCTGTTCCTTGATCCTCAGGGATCTCAGGGGCTGTACCCAACCAGCAATGCTCAGAGAAACATGTGTTACTTGGTATCTAACAGGGGTCAGCAACACGTAAGACATAAGCCTTCAGCCTTGTACTATCTTCTCTGGCCCCAAAATATTCATATTTGTAAAGATCCTGATAAATGCCACCAGATTTTCTTCCAAAATAGTTATTTTATTTATTTATTTATTTATTTATTTGTTAAACACCATGAGGTACAGTTGTAGACTTACAAACTTTTGTGCTTGGGTTTCAGTTACACAGTGATCGAGTACCCATCCCTCCACCAGTGCCCATTCTCTACCACCAATGATCCCAGTAGCCCTCCTAGCCCCCCATCACCCCCACCCCACCCCACCTCTGTGGCAGGGCATTCCCTTTTGCTCTCTCTTTCCTTTAGGGTGTTGTGGTTTGCAACAGAAGTATTGAGTGGACATCATGTTCAGTCTATAGTCTACTTTCAGTACACATCTCGCATCCCGAGCGAGTTCTACAAACACCCTTTATTTGGTGCTCCCTTCTCTATCTGAGCTGCCTTTTCCTCCAGCATGTGCTGTCAGCTTCCAAGCCATGAAGCAGACCTCCTGGTACTTATCTCAACTACAAAACAGTTATTTTAGACCCTTCATTGCAGAATGTGTGTACCTGACCAGCAATATTAGGGGAAAAAAAAAAGAAATTTGAAAAAAAAATAAAAAATAACATCACCTATGAAATTAATTCAGCATACTTACCCTGCCTGAGGGGCTGCTATCCCTTTATGGGAAGGAGATAAGGTCTGAAGTTTATTTCCCACAGAGCTGCTAACGGAAGACACTTTACCTGAAGTCACACCTTATAATAAAAAAGGTATTAGTTTTAACAACACTCTGAAAAAAAAAAAGTCACCTACTTTTTTTTTTAAAGCGTTGCCATAAGGAAAACAATGCTTAAGTGCCAAAATGTCTTAGTCAATGTAAATGAAAATAAATTATCAATAAGAAGCTACTTTAATGAAATATTCAGGGGAAAAACATCAAGCATCTTTGATTTCTAATTTCTCTATTTTTTTTACAATTTACAAGTAAAGGTTCATTTTAAAAGTCAACATATCTGTCAAAGTATTTGTCTAGTAAGGACAATCGCCACGTTCAGAAAAGTATGAAAGACTCACGTAGAAATGAGGAGAAAATATGGTTAAAAGAAATCAAGAACCTGATTAATTATTCTGAACATGTGATTCATTAATCTCATTAAGAACAGCCACTTAAATTTTTAAAAAACAAGGAATACAAATCATCTCCAATAGAACCTATTGATATTTTATTCAGAAATAATCTCTGTAGCTATTTGAATATGAATCTAGTTTAATTGTGAATCTAGTTTAATAATCCAGAAAAGACCACTATCTTTATTTTCTTCTCTACCACCACAATTTAATCATAAAAGATATAGAATATGAGTCAAATTCTTTCAGAGATCTCATTACCTACAACAGTTTTGCTAGTAGCACTTGGCTGTGGTAATCGTGACGATCCTGATGGTGCAGTTCCAGGAGAGTTAGACTTTTTAAGTGCAGGCGGCTTATACTAAAATAATAAAAATAAAATATTTTATCAATATCACTTTAACAGATGACAAACTAGCCTTTCAAAGAGAGAAGTCCTCATTTTTCTCTTCAACGAGCAACCCTTCCATGAGCTACTGGAGTGTTCAAATTGAGAGTGTGAAAATTAAAATAATGGAACATTCAGAATAAATAACGAGAGAGATTTCCCAAACTACAACCCCTCTCAAAACTGGCCTTTGGGCTCAGCTGCTTCCACTACTAAAATAGACTGATTATCATGTCACGGTTCACTGAAATAAAACTGTTCTAGCAGAAAAAAATTTCAATGTTAAGATAACAAACAATACGCAAATATTAACATAAAAATTTAGAAACAGTCAATAATGCAGAAGTGGCACATACACAATTATATATACATATATACATATATAAAACCATAAAATACATCCCCCAAATCATAAGCAAACATTCATAATACCCACTTCAGAAGTACCTTCAATATTGATTTCATTGACAAGAAAAAGAAGTACAAAAATAATGGCGACAATATAAAATAAAAAAATTTGACATTGCAAAAGAAACTATTTTTTTTAATTAACTGGTAAATTCTAGGAAATGGTTACCCACATACTGCAGATTAAATACGACCTCATGTCACCCCAGATAATATAAAGCACTCAAAAAAATCGGTAACTGCAGCAAAAAACAAAATGCTTCTTAGATGAGCAGAATAAATGAACAAGCACTTTCTTTTTGTTTTCCTTCTGTACCACACCTGACAAGGCTCAGGGCTTTTTTTCTTGCCTCCGAGCTCAGGGATCACTCCTGGGAGGTCTGGAGAAACCATAAAGAATGTCAGGGTTGAACCTCAGTCAATTGTGTGCAGGGCAAGCACCCTTCCTTCTCTATCATTTCTTAGGCACCTGAACAAATACTTTCCAAAGAAATCTTGCGGATAGCCAACACATTAAAAAAAAAAATGTTTATCACTGACCATTAGTGAAATACAAATAACCATCAAAATGACAGTGAAGTAACCATCAAAATGACAGTGAAACTCCCCTCAGAGTGAGAATGTCCTATATCAAAAAGCCAGAAACACAGTGCTGACCAGAATCAGGAGATAATGAAACCTTAATTCATTATTGTTGAATGTAAACTGGTCTGAGCATATAAACGGGTTCAACTGAAAATTTTAAGAAGGTCCAAAAACATGCTCTTTAGGAGATACACTGAAAGTTATACAAAAAGAGATTAAAAAGTGAAAAGGTTAAAAAAAGGTATCCCAAGACATGGTAATTTTTTTTAAATTCAGAAATTGCTAATATGAATGCATTCTATAAGATGTACTAGTGATCAAGCACCATAGCACCATCCTCCTGTTGTTCATCGATTTGCTCAAGCAGGCACCAGTAACTTCTCCAATGTGAGAATTGTTGTTACTGTTTTTGGCATATTGAATATGTCATGGGTAGCTTGACAGGTTTTGCTGTGTGGGCAAGATACTCTCGGTAGCTTGCCGGGCTCTCTGAGAAGAGCAAAAGAATCAAACCCGGGTTAGCCGTGTGCAAGGCAAACGCCCTACCTGCTGTGCTATCACTCCAGCTAGCTTGTGATCAATAAAGGTAAAAATAGAGAAAAATCACATTGTATACGAAGAGACCATTATATCAAGAAGATATAACAATATATTCACCCAACATATGAACACCAAAATATACAAAGCAAATATTAAGAAACCTCAGGTAGGCAGTGAGAACTTAATAAGAGAAACAGACACTAATATCCCACATACAGAAATGGACAGAGAGATCAGATAAACTGAAAGCGTATAGAAATTCAACAAGGAACTAACAGCATTACAGTCACAAAATAGATAAGAAGAACTTATTATTCTAAAATCATTCGACCCCCAATGTAACAGAACCCAAAACACTCTCAAGAACAGACCACATCCTGGGACCAAAAAAACAAGTATCAGGAAATTTTCAGAATCTAAAATGAAATCAAATGTATTTTTGGGTCACAATTCTATGAAATTAATGAACAAAGTAATTTTTCTTTCCAGCTTTGAATCATATTTTGAAGGTTTATATTAATCAGGGCTGGAGCAATAGCACAGCAGGTGTGGTGTTTACCTTGCATGTGGCCGGTCTGGGTTTGATTCCTCCGCCCCTCTCGGAGAGCCCGGCAAGCTACCAAGAGTATCCCGCCTGCATGGCAGAGCCTGGCAAGCTCCCATGGGGTATTCGATATGCCAAACACAGTAACAAGTCTCACAATGGAGATGCTACTGGTGCCCACTCGAGCAAATTGATGAACAACGGGAGGACAGTGCTACAGTGCTATGTTAATCAAAACTGTGAGGTACTGGAATAAATATAGACTCTCAGACCAATAGAATAGAACTGGGAGGTCAGGTAAGACCTCAGATACATGACCGGCTAATCTGTGACAAAGGTGCACAAAGACATGTAGTTTCCACCTCACAGATGAAGCAACAAATGTTAACAGACATAAAAGGCATTTGCCTAATAGCTCCAAAGCAGCATTTCAAATGAGGGAGCCAGTTTTTAATTCTTTCCAATTACTCTCATTTACATGAAAAAGACTTATATGATTTCCAAACACAAACTTAAATGCCATTTTTCTCATTCTTTATCCCATTTATTTTCCTCTAAACCTGTTTAGCTTATTTTTAACAAAATTTCTCAAATTTCCCTAATACTGTTTTAAACCAGAACATTTATTTTCAACTCTTTACTAGTTCAAGTCCATTGCAAAATAATTAACTTTATGTCCTTATTAGCTATTTGGGTTTCCTACTAAATTTCCAAGCACAACATAAATCTTTGTATGTAAGAAAATTGCAGTTCTATGTCTATAAAGCACAAACACATGGCATACTAATAAATGACATACACATCTATAATACACATCTACAAACGAGTCATTTTCTCACTTGTTTATACAAATGAATGAAAGCGAGCATGTCACCTGGCTCCGAGACGGTGTTTTCCCTTTGCTATCAGTAGAGAATTTGCCTTTATTACTAATGCGTGCTGCCTGTTCTTTACAGAAATTGATATGCCTATCAGCTGCATTTTCATTGAATCTCCTCTGGCAATATGGACACTGGATATAATCTAGAAGAGATTTTAAAAAAAATAAACATAGGACATATGAAAAAAACAGGACATATAGAAGTAGAACTTTTCATGAACAGACATCTGAAAAACAAAAAACTCATTTCCTTCTAACTGTCAAACCTGAATTATCCAAACTTAGAAAAGATGAATGTGCTAATATATAATAAATTCACATTTTTCTCCCAGTTCAAATTCAGTGTGAGGAAAAAAATTAATGATAGCACAAAAAAACAGGGTAAGTGGAGGAAAATATGATTTTGTTTCTTGTCTCTCAAATACTGTATTTTAAAGACTTTTTTACGGATTTATTACAGATTAAATTTACTAAGGATTTAAAATCTGTAAAACTTCTAGGGCCTCAGCAAGTGCCAGGTGGTGATTCACACAATTAGCATGTGCAAAGCCCTGAATTCCATCCCAGACACACCAGGGTCCCTGAGCACCATAGAGTGTATCCTGGAGGTCCCGAAGCACTCCTTGGGCATAAAACAGGGCTAAAACTGTAGGGCCACACTAGGCCAAGCACGGGCTTGGCCCCTATAAAAAAAACAAACAACTCTATCATACTTTCTGCCCACCTGAGTCTTTATGTCAACAATATTTCAAATACCTGGATCATAAGAAGGTGGAGGAGGAGGAGGAAGTTTGCCACCCTCTTTAAGAGCTTGATCGAGACCTTTGGCTGCTCTTATAGTGGCAATAAATTCTTCATGTTTTCTTCTCCAATTAGATGGTTTCTTTGGTGGTTCAGGCTATAAAGAAAGAAAACTACAGTTCATGAACTTTTTAAAAAGTAGAGTGCAGGAGCTAGAGAGATAGAACAGCAGGTAGGACACTGGCTTTGCATGCAGCCAACCAAGGATCAATCCCTAGCATCCCATAGAACATCCTGAGCACCGCCAGGAATAATTTCTGAGTACAGTCAGGAGTAACCCCTGAGCATTACCGGGTGTGACCCAATGGGCCCCCTTACCCCCCAAAACACAAAGTAATTTGAAAAATCAATAAACTAAAATAGGGACTGGAGGAATAGCACAATGGGTAGTGCACTTGCCTTGCACACAGACAGTCCTGGTTCAATTCCCAGCATCCCATATGGTCCCCCGTGCCCCGCTAGGAGTTATCTCCTGAGCCCAGAGCCAGAAGAAATCTGAGCATCACTGGATGTGCCTCCAAAACAAACAAAAAGTCAAAAAAAAAAAAAAAGAAAATTTGAGGAAATGTTCATATCAGGAATTTTTAAGTGATATTCCTCCCAAATTTATTTTTTAAATTTTTTTTGTTTTTTTTTTTGCTTTTTTGGGGGGGGGGCAATACCCAGTGATGCTCAGAGATTACTCCCAGCTCTATGCTCAGGAATTACTCCTAGTGGTGCTGGGGTCCATACAGGATCCCAGAGACAGAACCCAGGTGGGTCACATGCAAGGCAAACGCCCTACCCACAGTATCTCTAACCCTTATTTCAGTTATTTTTTATATTAATGTTTCTTTTTTGTTTGTTTGTTTGTTTGTTTGGGGGCCACATCTGGTGCTGCTCAGGGGTGACTCCTGGTTTTCCACTCAAGAATTACTCCTGGCAATGCTCAGAGGACCATACAGAATGCTGGGTACTGAACCCAACTTGACCACATACAATGAAAATGCCCTACCTGCGATACTACCACTCTAGTCCCAGGCCCTGGCTTCAGACCTCAGGAACAAAAATTAAAATAATCATGTGTATTATGTTTTCCATAAACTGCATATATTCACTAACAATTTATCTATTGGGCACCACGTTACTGACAACCTAGTGACTGACTCTTTAAGTAAGAGACTCAAGTAACTCTTCAGGGGAGACTAGTCCTACCCTTCCCCAACAAACGTCATAAGATCATTTCATCTCTTGCCAAAGCTCCTTGGCACGAAAATGTCACCTTGCCTCATTGCCAAGGGTGATTTAATACTCAGAATTATTTTTAAATGTATCTTAATTTACTGATTAAATCCCCTTATTCTTCCTTTACTACTGCAAAAATTAAAAAAGAGTCATTCTAATGGCTTTCTTACGAGAAAGAGTATTTTATTTTTCATTATTGCTTTCTGACAGTTTCAACAACTGGGTCTTTTCAATTCCAGCTTCCCCTTCCCCTACTTCTCTCCTTCTTCTGTCCAGTTTCAGACAAGTTTACTCCAGTTCTTGGCATGGAGAGATGCTAGAGCTCTGCTAAGTCTGCCTCAGTTCTGGTAAACAAAGAATACTTCTTCCTGATAAGACGCAAGTAGTATTCGAAGAGTCACTTTAAGGTAAGGAGACCCTCAATTCTAAGGTCACACCGCACACTGCAAGATTTGTAACCATGACCCTCCATTGTTTACAGTTTCTTCTGAATCATTTTTCTGTTGACAGATTATACATTATTTTATAGTCTATGGAATATACAGACTGGTATGTGTTGCAATTGATTTGTGAATAATGACATTGTATCATTCGAATCTTCTAACAAACTACTTCTCAAAGTTTAATGTACATGATTTACCATAGATTTTATCAAAATACATATACTAATTCAGTGTATCTGAATGAGAACTGGTATTCCACACTTCTAACAAGTTCCCAAATATTGTTAATATTACTGATACAAAGACCACATTTTAAGTATCAGCCATAAACTACTGCATCAAGCTGTAAAGCAGTGATTTTCACGTTGCTATTTTTCCCTAAAAGATTATTCTTTAGAAAAGGAATAGTAGAACTAATATCTGTTAATATCAGCTGGAAGACTTTTATATTATAAAACATAACAATCCAACAATTAGGTGTTTTAATTGCTAAGCATCATTTTATAAATAAGTATAGATTAAGTAACTTGCCTGACACAATATGATGATAAACAGAGCCAGGAATAAATTCAGGCACTCTGACTGGAGAGCCAATTTTCATATCCACTATGCCAATAAAGATTCATCCCTGGCACCACATGGACCCCCAAGAAGTATAGGAAGCAATTCTGATCACTGAGTCAGACGTGTACCCCAAGTATCATCATGCTTCCTCCGCCCCTCTCAGAGAGCCCGGCAAGCTACCGAGAGTATTCGATATGCCAGACACAGTAACAACAAACAAAAAATAAGCTAAAAAAAATTTAACTAGCTTATCAATTTAAGCTAATTAAAGAAAACATTTGTATAGCTAGCAAGCTACAAAGAAAATAACTTCCAATACTGGTTAGTATATCTAATTGAAACATAACCATTTCCTCTTGAATGTTCACAAACTAATAAAACAAAGATGAACATCAGACATTTCTACTCTAAAACAATTCTATTAAGGTCAGTTTCCCCATATGAAGATGCTTTCCTGCATCACTGGGATAAGTTATGGCCACTGAAAGTACAATTGTTTTGAACCCTACTCAAGTACAAATTTGGGGAGCACATACACTCAAATCAGAATGATAAACCAAAGATAAGCTTGGTGTCTGCACAAGGATGATACACAAATTCAGGAAGGGACCCTTATTCTAATGCTTTAGGAGCACAGACATCTACAAACTAATCTGAGTGCAAGTCTAGTTTTGAGAAGAAGACTTAACCCTTTGTCCTAGAGCATTCATGCACCACCAACTGTATGCCACCAACTTTAGTCCTGCAAGTTTCTAACTATAGTGAGCATGCTCACAAATATAGCTGGTCTTCAGCCAGCTATATTTGTGAGCATGCTACACTGTAGACACAACGCTAAACCTGAGAGAGGGCCTGACATACCTCACCCATTCCTGGGATCAACAACAGCCATTTGGATCTAGTGGACAACTTTGGAAAGAGGAATATAGTGTCAGTGCCCTGACCCCATCCAGAAACAACTAGATAGGCATCTGGAAAAACTAGTGTTATTCCTACTTTGAAAACATTCCTTTAATTCAAGGATGACTGGCTTGCATTAAAATACTGGAAAGGTTCTTGGTTCTTGGTTTGCTAACCAACACATTTGAAAAAAATTTTTTAAAAAAAGCAGCAGCTAGCTTTTCCATTTCTGGAAAATCTAACTAAATGCAAACGGGGAAAAAAAGTTATCCAATAAGTCATCTCAATTTTAAGTATTTCATTGAAATGACTCGTAAAACTATGCCTAATTATTGAAGTGACTTGTTGCAGCAATATAACAGATGGTATTAAGGAAATATTATAGAAGTTCCAAGAAACAAAATAAACTAACAACACTATATGAGAACAAACAAGCCACAGATAAAATTTCAGCCAGACAGCAAATACTATTAATCACTATAATTCATATCTATGATGCTAAGCTCTCTTATAAAGTTCTACTTTGTATATAAGGATACTGCAATTGGCAAGAAAAATTTAAAATCAACTAATATTATAGGATGTTTAACTAACAATGACTTAAAAGAATGTGTGAAAACAGATTATTTTTAGCTCATTGCTAAACAATTGGTTCTCTACTGCCAAAAGGCTCGCTATATAATTTGAATTTTGAGACAACATTTTGGTCACCCCTTTGCAAAAGTTAAAATTAAGTTTTAATAATTTCTAAACCAAGAAAATGACAGGAATTTTACACTCAAAAAGATACTGAGTTTTTTTTTCAAAATAGATACTAGCAAGGTTGACACTGTCAAAAAGGTTATATAATTACCCTTGGTTTAAGAGGTTTAACTGTTGGAATATCAGTTCCTTCAGCTCTTTGTCTGCTTGAATCAAAAGTTTTGCGTTTTTTAGTGGCAGTTTTCTGGCAAATGGGTCCATGCTTTTTCTGTTAAAATGAAGAAATATATCATTATTTTTTTCTACAGAACAGAATTCCACTTAAACTGTCATTTGACAGTAGTTTTTTTTAAAAAAAAAACTTGAGACAAAATAATAATACATAAATAAGATACACAAAAAACATAAATATGATGTATCAAATAGTACATATATATGCAACAAGTTCTCTTTCTCAGAACAGAAAGCACAGACACTTAAAGATATTATTTTCATTACTCCTAGCTTTCTTATCATTGGGGAAAATAATATACAAGTTAAAACTGTCTGCATGGAAAATGTTAATTTCTTTTTTTTTAGTTTTTATTAGTTAAACACCATGAGGTACAGTTGTAGACTTACAAATTTTTGTGCTTGGGTTTCAGTTATACAATGATCAAATACCCATCCCTCCACCAGTGCCCGCCCATTTTCCACCACCACGGATCCCAGTATCCCTCCCACCCCCCCATCCCTTCCATCCCACCCTGCTTCTGTGGCAGGGCATTCCCTTTTGTTCTCTCTCTCCATCATTAAATTCCTAAAAATTAATACTAGAAAAAGAACGTAATTAAAAAATGCATTAGTGATTAAAACTGACCTAGTAGTAGCAAGATGATATGTAGTCAACATTAAAAAAGTCAAATTTGGAATTTTCCTCTATAGTCAGTCATTTCTGTCTTTCCTTCTGGAGTGAAAATTTTCAGCCTCTTTTTTTTTTTCTTAACCAAAGATTTTTCTTGATCTATAGTGTAACAGTCTTACGCACTGCTTTTTGGGTCACACCCAGCAATGCACAGGGGTTACTCCTGCCTTTGCACTCGGGAATTACTCCTGGCAGTGCTCAGGGGACCATAAGGGATGCTGGGAATCAAACCCAGGTCGGCCGTGTTCAAGGCAAACGCCCTACCTGCTGTACTATCACTCCAGCCCCTCTTAACGAACTTTTTTAAAAATACAATTTGCCTTGAAGCCTTGAGAGATAGTAAGGTGAACAGGGCACTGCCTTGCACACAGATGACCAGGGTTTGATCCCCGGCACCCCATATGATCCCCAGAGCACCATCAGGTCCCTGAACCAGGAGGCAGGCTCTGAGCACCACCACATGTGTCCCCAAACAAAAAAATATATAAAAATGTTTTAAATTAAAAAAAAAAAAAAACCACAGTTGCCAACTCATTCATACAATAATTAATTTACTCATTTTTTAAAAAAAAATCACAACGAGGGCAGGAGCAACAGTACAACAGGTGCCCTGTAGTACAACAGGCTCACCCAAGTTGGACCCCTGGCATCCAATGCGGTCCCCAGGGCATAACCCAGAAGTATTTCCTGAGTGCAGAGCCAGGAGTAACCCCGAGGCACTGCTGGGAGTAGCCCCAAAGCAACAACAACAAAAGTCACAATTAAATTCTCCTAACCTGGGATCAGTGGTGGTGGAGAATGGGCACTGGTGGAGGGATGGGTATTCGATCATTGTATAATTGAAACCCAAGCACAAAAATTTGTAAGTCTACAACTGTACCTCATGATGTTTCACTAATAAAAATTTAAGGGAAAAAAAAATTCTCCTAACCATCATCCAATTGCCCATTAAGATAAGCAATCATTCTCCTTTGGCTAAAAAAATAATAATAATATTAACTCATGACATCAAGAACTCAATGTAGTACCTTTTTTCCCTTTATTTTGATAAATTCTAAAAAGATTAGAATTGTTCAATATTAGGAGGATAAAAAAAATCATAGAACTGGCTTTTTGGTATCAAAGGGTCATGCAAATTTCAGTATGTAGTTGCTAATCAACGGTTTTAGTAACATGTTTTCAGTTTTTATTTTGAAAAGTATTATAACAACAAAATCTCCAATGGAGACGTTACTGGGCCCGCTCAAGCAAATCGATGAACAACGGGAGGGCCTTTATAATTATAGTTATTAGAATAAAAGTTCTTATTTGAATAGTGCCCCCAAAACCAAAGTAATAAAAAGAAATAAACTATCTTAAGTATTTAAAAACAAAAGTGAAGTGCGAGTAGCATGCAACTTTCAAGGAGAATCACATATTATCTAGTTCCAGAAACTGAGCTTTAAGTTTATGTCAAATATTTATATGCTACTTTCCCAAACCTATTTGTATGTCCTATTTGTGATCTGAAAAAAAAAGGGAAAAAAATCTTTTTGTTTAGACACATCTACACAAGAATTTAAAAACAGTATAATGAATTTCCACTTATTCCTTGGCTGCCTTCTCAATTACCAACATTTTGACAATCTTGTTTCATCTCTCCTCATTATTTTTTAAGTGCTTGAAAGCAAACTGCAAACATCATACCCTTTTTTGTAATTTTCAAATACAGTATTATGCATTTCTAAAAGCTCTTTGTTAATAGTACCAATATTAAGAATAAGTAAAATGAGAAGAAAAGAGACCACTCCAAAGAATGAAAGTGATAGAACTGATACTTTTGAACAAAGAATGCTATTTAGCATCACTTTAAATTATCCCACAGAGATTCTTTCCACAAGAGTTGTTCTCAAGTATTTAACTATTACTGATTAACCCCCAAGGATAAAGGTACTCACTAATGCCACTGGAAAGAATGTTCTTCCACAAATCTTGCAAGGTAACAATTCTCCAACCTGGACACTTCCATTTTCTAAAACAAAACAAAACAAATTCTGCTGTGAAACTTTCCATTTTAATCTTTTCTCTTAATTTCTTATATAAATTGTTCAGTTCCTTCTTTTTTTTTTAAGTGCACTTTTCTGGGGCCAGAGGGATGGTATAGCAAGTAGGACACTTGCCTTGCATGTGGCTGCCCCCAAGACCACACCTGGCATCACATATGACCCTTCTGAGCACTGCCAGGGGTGAGCCCTAAGTACAGCTAGGTGTGCCTCCAAAAAATACAATACCTTTTAGAAGTGCAGCTGTCAGAGAACAAAATCTTAGATTTTGACAACAGAACTTATCCAGCAATGTGGAGAGTAGACAGTGGGGTTGTGGAAAGGAGAGGAAAAGACATGAAAGTGGTGGAAGGTCTCTGGCACTTAAGTGATGGTGCAAGTTCAGTAACTATGGATTTTATAATCATGTTACTTACCCGAATTATTAGAAAAGTAATAATAAATACAGAAAATGGGAATATCAGTTGAAATGGACATGACTTGGTTTGGTCATTTGCTGGAAAGGCAATTTCAAACAAGTCATCATTTCCAGACCAAATTGATTACTGTTGAAAATTGTATATTGTATATTATTGCCAACTGCAGCCAACTTCCTTAGCTATTCCCACATCCTCAGAAACACATTAAACAATACTCACATTCTGATTCCTGAGAAGAGCCTAATTGAGAGCGCACTGTCTTATCAAGAACTACTTGCCTAGAAAGAAGATGGCATCTCTCTCATTAATTTTACATTACCATACTGTGCTTCTATTGATGTTATCATAATGCTTTCTACAACTACTTACTGTGTTTGAAAAAAAAATACACAGACTGTTCTGTCATTAAGTATAAATTTTTTAGTGATGCAAGGCAAGGAAAAACTTTTATGATCTTTTTCTACTATAGTAAACTATTCTACAATTACAGTAGAATAATAATAGTATGTGTTTATGTGTAAGCAGTGATGTGCAATATAGATCAATGTGAGAGTTACTTTATTGTTCTTATGCTACTGAACCATTGAAGATGTCTGGCTTTGAAGATGTCTGACTTTTCCACAGAATGTTGATTTAATGGTACACAGACAAAAGAGATTATTGATACTGTTTTTTTTTTAAGAAAGAAGATATCTGGCTTTCTTTAAATTATTTTAGGCAAATTAACTTTTCATATTTCCTTAATTAATTTATTTCTTGAGGGGCGGGGCACACCCGGCATTGCTCAGGACTTACTCCTGGCTCTGTACTCAGGAAATCACTCCTGACAGACTCAGGGAAATCATACAGGATGCTGGGGATCAAACCCAGGTTGGCTGCATGCAAGGCAAGCACCCTACCTGCTGTCCTATCTCTCCATCCCCAAACTCCTCTTAATTTATATTAAGAGAATATATCTCCACCAAATTCAATTTAAGGTTGATGTTATTAATCCCAAGGATTAAGAAACAACACTGATGAGCAGTTAAATGACTTCCTGATTTCCTGAGATGATGTCAGGATGGGCTGGAGCGATAGCATAGCAGGTAGGGCGTTTGCCTTGCACCTGGCTGACCCGAGTTTGATTCCTCCATTCCTCTCGGAGAGCCCGGCAAGCTACCAAGAGTATTCTGCCCGCACGGCATAGCCTGGCAAGCTCCCTGTGACGTACTCAATATGCCAAACACAGTAACAAGTCTCACAATGGAGACGTTACTGATGCCCACTCGAGCAAACCGATGAATAAGGGAGAACAGTGCTACATATGCTACAGATGCTAGGATTATCTGAATTAGCATATGTGACTATGTGAATTGTTTCATTATTTTATAATGAAATATTAAATTCTAATGTTAAATAAAATATCTATTGCTGGAGCGATAGCACAGTGGGTAGGGCATTCGCCTTACAAGCGGCCAACATGGCCGACCCGAGTTCGATTCCTCCGCCCCTCTCGGAGAGCCCAGCAAGCTACCGAGAGTATTCGATATGCCAGACACAGTAACAACAAAGTCTCCAATGGAGACATTACTGGGCCCGCTCGAGCAAATCGACGATCAACGGGAGGGCCTTTACCTTTACCTTTAATGTTAAATTAAATTCTATTTCTTAAAGATTTTTTTTGATTTAAAATCAATATATACATATACCATAACAATACACATGACATTTTTTAAAAATTCTACACTCGTGCTGTTGGGGTCAGAGAGACAGTACAGTGAGTAAGATGCTTATATTGCATACACCTCACCTGGGTTCGATTTCCAGGGCAACACTGTAGAGTTCCCCAAGACCACAGGGAGTGAGGCCTGAGTGCAGAGCCAGGAGTAGACCCTGAGAGCCACTGGGTGTGGCTCCAAATTCCCAAAAATAAAAAATCAAAATAAATACTAATAAAATTCTCGATGCATGTTGGAGGAAAAAGGACACTCTTTTGGACAATAGGGTGTTGGAACTTGGTATGCACGAAACCCTATCATAATATCAAAATTACAGTGATGAAAATCAAAAAAAAAAGAAAACCACTACATTCTTCTTTTTCTTCTCCCCCTCCCAGAAGTAAAAGTTTTACTTAAGGAAAAAAAAAAAAGGGTGAGGAAGGTGGTTCAAAGGACTATGCAGTGCAGGCCAGAGCCCAGGGACACTGTGGATTAGGAGGAATACAGTAAAATGAAAGCACAGTAGCACTGTAGCACTGTCCTCCCGTTGTTCATCGATTTTCTCGAGCAGGTCCAGTAACGTCTCCATTATGAGACTTGTTACTGTGTTTGGCATATCCAGTATGTCACAGGGAGCATGCCAGGTTTTGCCGTGCGGGCGAGATACTCTTGGTAGCTTGCCAGGCTCTCTGAGAGGAGTGGAGGAATCGAACCGAGGTCAGCCTGGTCGGCTGCGTGCAAGGCAAACGCCCTAGCTGCTGTGCTATCAAAGCAAAAGAAAGCAATTCCACACTCAGAGTTAGGATGTGGGCAATTCAGAGTGGAAGCCAAAAACTACATTCTTCAGAATTCTACCTAACTGACTCAATCTGTTATTTTATTTTATAAGTGATCTAAAATGCTTCTCATGTCTGTAGTTTCCCAAAAATTAATACTTGAACCTATTCATCGCGTTTTCTCCTGAATATCTTACTGACTACTGAAGTTCTTGTATCATAGAAAGGATAAATACAGAAGAAACATCTTTTGAAGTAACAGACTCGCAAAGAAATTACAGTTTTCACACCAAGTAACTTGCAATCAGGCATTTACTGAGTTCGCAGTAAACTAATGAGAACCGAAATAGCCATCAATGAGAATACAGTCCCTGGTAACAGAAGAACTATTTTGTTTTCTCACTTCTACCACTCCACTGACCTATTTAAAGGCAGATAGCGAGGACTTGTCATCTCAGGTGGAGGTAATGTCACTGCGGTGACAGTTAAGCAGTGGACACAAGAAAGACAAAGCTGAGATTCGCCTGATCTGTCCTCTAAGACCAGATTATTTAAAACCAGATTATTTGTCTCTAAAACTAGGTTTTCTAGGTAGAGCCACCTCATATATCTCGATCATTTAATTTCACTGTCTAATCAGAAAGTCTGAGGCACTTTCTGAGTGAAGTTCATTAGATTCACTATGAATGTCTCCATACCAGAATGAACAACAGAACAGAACTGGAAAACACAGGATACATGATCTATCAGACTCGCTTATAGTTTTCAGGCTATTCTATATTCTACTAATTAAAAAGTCATCAATAAAAATGCAAAAATGTATCACATACTGTTGCATGCTTAAAAGTATATTTTATTGTCTCTTTGTTAAAGAAAAGATAAAGGTTTAGAGGGGCCTGAGTGATAGCAGGTAGGAGGTTTGCCTAGCACACGGCTGACTGGGGTTCGATCCGCAGCACTCCATATGATACCTTGATTCAGCCAGAAGTGATCCCTGAATGCAGAATCATGAGTAAGCCCTGAACACCACCATGTGTGGCCCCAAAACAAAAACAAAAAGGATAAAAATTCATAAAAATTAATTATTAAGAAAAATAACTTTAACACATGAAAATAATATAAGTGCCTATGGGACCTCCTGACTATCTGCAAAAAAACAAATGAAATAATAGTGACGCCAGGATGACATAACACGCAGGGCCATCAAAATGCTTGGCTGTGTGCATGATTTACTTATTCACTCTATCCTAAGAACCAAATCATCTAATCCATTTTCACATAAAAACACTTAACACAACAATACCCAGAATACAATGAACTGCAACTCTTAGGTTTGATTCCTACAGTTTACTGAGTCAAAATGTCTTTAAAGGAAAAGAAAATTATCATCACTAAAAAAGTATTAAAAGACAGACAACTGACATTAAAGAGAAAGCACTTAAGAGCAATTATATCAAGAGAAAAATTAGGAGTGAGGAAATAGTTAAGGTTGTGCCGGGTTCAACCTGCAGCACCAGTTGACCTCCAAAGCATCCTAAGATACAGCAATGGACACTCCTGAGCATCAATGCAGATGGCCATGGAGGCCCATGGGTACCACAGGAAATCTCTGATGGTCTCTGGTCCCACAGAGCCCAAGAAGCACCACATTCTTAGACCCTAGCAGTGAACCACAAACTGAAATTACTCTCGTCCCCTGAACACCACTTGAAGGATTTCCCGGTGCTAAAGCGAAAAAAAGAATTATTACTTCCTTCAAAATATACATATACATGGGGCCAGAGAATATATTTAAACAAAGCACTTGCTTTGCATGTGGCTGATTCCCTGATACTCTAAGCATCACCAGAGTAGCCCCTGAGCACAGATCCAAGAATAGCCTCTGAATCTACCTGACATCAAACACATACCTCCTGCACTTCTCCCCACCACCGTCCACCCCACCAAAAACTAAAAGAGTAAAGAGAAGGTGTAAGAAAACTGGACTAAGGGCCAGAGCAATAGTATATGGATAGGGTGTTTGCATTGCATATAGCCAACCTAGGTTCTATCCCCAGCATCCCACATGGTCCCCCGA